GTTTTTGGTTTCTGCAGAGGCAGAAAACTCTGGTGGGTTCCTATAGTAGAGATGCCAGGTGTGGCCGTGGCAGCTGCTGGCAACTGTGGGCTCTAGCAGAACTAGTACTTTCAGCAGCAGCCACAGGCCTGTGAGTTCCTAGATTTCTGCTCAGCAGAACAAGAGCCCCAGTCTCAAAGACAAGGACACACTTGCCCATTCTAGGTAACTTCTTTTTCTACTTTTTTCTTCCAATTTTATGGAAGCAGCCTCTAGTGGTTCAGCATAAGTCGGACAGAACTTGTGGGTAACCTGGGGACCCACTAGCTGAGATTGGCATCTTAAGTTGGAGGCAGTCTTGTGGGCCTGAGCTCATGTAATGTGGTATCTGACACTTTCTCCAGGTAGATAGTGTTAGAAATAAGTTAAATGGTGTGAAATGTAGCTGGTGTCACAAAATTCCTGTGTTTGAATTTGCTTGTAATAAACTTTCCACTGGGGAAAAAAAAACCTTGGCTCACCATTCTGGCTATCAGGATGACACTCAACTGAGCCACACCCGCCAGGGCAATGGAGGATTACTTTTGATCTAATAGGTAAATGGAAGTCACATTAGTATTTGATATAATAATTGATAACATTTATTGAAGGCAGGCACTGTTTTAAGTGCTTTGCATGTATTAATTTATTTATATTAACAATCCTATAGAGTAGGCACAGCGAATATTTGATTTAGTCACTCCTCAGCCAGGAAGATAGAAACCATTGTAGATATTTCAAACAGGGTATTGAATACAAGGATTTGGGTACAAAAGTATTGAAAGGACTAGAGAAATAAATAAGGAGAAAATAATATAACCAAAAGAGGCTGCTTCCATAAAATTGGAAGAAAAAGGTAGAAAAAGAAGTTACCTAGAATGGGCAAGTGTGTCCTTGTCTTTGAGACTGGGGCTCTTGTTCTGCTGAGCAGAAATCTAGGAACTCACAGGCCTGTGGCTGCTGCTGAAAGTACTAGTTCTGCTAGAGCCCACAGTTGCCAGCAGCTGCCACGGCCACACCTGGCATCTCTACTATAGGAGCCCACCAGAGTTTTCTGCCTCTGCAGAAACCAAAAACTAAATGATTCCTCTCTCTCTCTCTCTCTCTCTCTAATAGTTTAAATGTTTCTTCTGTTTTATAGTTTTTTTTTCTTTTACTTTTAAAATGGATTTGCAATCTCTCTGCACAAACTAAGTTCCAGAATCTAATTCAATGATTCTCTGTTCTCTTCACTTTTCAATAAGACATGACACATCCCTTTAGCAGAGCTTTTCAGAAACCCACTAGAGAGAAGGTCTAGGAAATGTTAGTGTGGGAGGGTGGGCATGAGCTTGAGTGCCAATAGATAATATTTGACACAATCCACATTTTGCAGGTGAGCAAATAATAACACAGAGTTTGAATAACTTCTGCACAGTCACACAATTAGTAAGTGGCAGAGCTGGGATTCTAACTCAGGCCTCTACTTGCCTTTCATTAATCCTTGGTATGTCCTGTTTACTCCAACTAAACCACTTTACTGTGTCATTCACTCATGTTGGGCTCACCTCCACCTTAATATGTGCTCATGTTTTCCCCCTGCTTGAAATGCCCTTTCAGCTTCTCTCAAGCCCTGATCCAATGAGAGAATTATAGATTGTTAGATATGAAAGCAACCTTAAAATAGTTACTTCCAGGCAGTAAAATTGGAAATGAAATCTTTCACTCGTTTACCCTTTATACTTCTGTATTTCAATTAATCTATACTAATAAAAGTGTAATATGTTAATTAGACCGGGTCGACCGGCCATCTTCTGGATGTCCGACTTCCTTCCGGACAAAGCCATGGGGGCCAAGGCAGAGGCAGTTAGGGGCAATCAGGGCGGCAGGGGAGGGCAGTTAGGGGCAATCAGGCCCAGATGGCGAGAGGGATGTCCGACTGCCGGTTTAGGCCCAATCCCAAGGGGTCCCTGATTGGAGAGGGTGTAGGCTGGGCTGAGGGAACCCCCCACCCCTGCACAAATTTCGTGCATCTGGCCACTAGTCTTTTTATAAGCATGTATTATTCTAGTAATTAGATGATAATAACAATAGAGATGATAGGAGATAGATAGATAGATAGATAGATAGATAGATAGATAGATAGATGATAGATAGAACAATAAACTCAACTCTTGACATGTTTTCTTGGGTCTTTCTGCCACAAAAATATTCTTCAGTGATTTGACTGCAAACAAAGGAGGAGCAGATACTATTGTTTGGACAATAAGCTGATTAATATAGAAAGTCCTTAACACAGGCAAGAGTGTTCAAATACTTTTGATCCAAATAAACTTTATTTCACATGCATATATGCAAAAGAATAATGTGGGTGAGAATTCCTTACAATGTATACTTAAAGCAGGAATCATTGCTCAAGTTCCTGCTTCAATCTTCTGCACTCTCCTGATGAGACACAGTCTAATTCCCCAAACTCCTGTCTATTTTCCAATCCCTAAAGCACTCTTCCCCTACCTGCCTCTGACTAGGCTCCCTGTAAACACTCTAAATAGCTTGTCATCCTTTTTGCCTTTAGAGGTCCTATAGTTTTTTAAAACCTTATTTCTATGTATGTCCTCTTTAGAAGATACTTTTCGAAAGAGGACATACAGAAGGCCAAGAGACATATGAAAACATGCTCAAAGTCACTACTCATCCAAGAGATGCAACTCAAAATAACATTGAGATACCATCTCCCACCTGTCAGGATGGCTATCATCAACAAATCAACAAATGACAAGTGCTGGAGAAGATGGAGAGAAAAAGGAACCCTCGTGCACTGCTGGTAGGAATGCAGACTGGTATAGCCAATGTGGAGAACAGTATGGAATTTCCTCAGAAAACTAAAAAAGGAACTCCCATTTGACCCAGTGATCCCAGTTCTAGGAATATATCCCAAGAAACTAGAAACACCAATCAGAAAGGATGTATGCACCCCTATGTTCATAGCAGCACAATTTACAATAGCTAAGATTTGGAAACAGCCTAAGTTCCCATCAGCAGATGAGTGGATTAGAAAACTGTGGTACATCTAAACAATGAAATACTATGCTGCTGTAAAAAGGAAGGAACTCCTACCATTTGCAACAGCATGGATGGACCTGGAGAGCATTATGCTAAACGAAATAAGTCAGTCAGAGAAAGATAAATATCACATGATCTCACTCATCTATGGATTATAATGAACAACAAAAACTGATGAACAAAAACTGATCCAAAGATAGAGAAGCATTGATCAAACCTCAGAGGGAAGGTAAGGGAGGGTGCGGGGAAGGGGGAGAGATCAACCAAAGGACTTGTATGCATGCCTATAAGCATAACCAATGGACACAGACACTAGGGAGGTGAGGGCACAAGCGGGGGGTGGAGGGGCAATGGGGGGATAAGGACATATATGTAATGCATTAATCAATAAAGAAAAAAATGAAAATCACAAGACACAGTAAGAGGAGATAAAAAAAATCAAAGGAAAAAATCCTCAGGTAAGGATTAACAATAAATAAATAAATAAATAAATAAATAAATAAATGGGAAAAAACCTTATTTCTACCTTATCTTATTTCTACCTTAAGACTTTCCTAGCTTGTCCCAGGCTAAATATACTGTTGCCTATTTAAATATACTTATGCTCTACTATTTTATTTCTACATTTATATTATTATAGCCTGAGTTGTATTACAATTTTTGTGTGTGTATGGGGCGCATATTTCTACTAGGTTGTGAATCTCAAGAAATAAGGACATAGTGTAAGGAGCCTCTGGGACAGCTTCAAGCATACCAACATCCGAATTATAGGGGTGCCAGAAGATGAGAGAGAGCAAGATATTGAAAACCTATTTGAAGAACTAATTACAGAAAACTTCCCCTTCCTGGTAAAAGAAATAGACTTACAAGTCTAGGAAGCACAGAGAACCCCAAACAAAAGGAATCCAAAGAGGACCACACCAAGACACATCATAATTAAAATGCCAAGAGCAAAAGGCAAAGAGAGACTCTTAAAAGCAGCAAGAGAAAGAAACTCAGTTACCTACAAGGGAATACCCATACGACTGTCAGCTGATTTCTCAACAGAAACTTTGCAGGCCAGAAGGGAGTGGCAAGAAATATTCAAAGTGATGAATGCCAAGAACCTACAGCCAAGATTACTTTATCCAGCAAAGCTATCATTCAGAACTGAAGGTCAGATAAAGAGCTTCACAGATAAGAAAAAGCTAAAGGAGTTCATCACCACCAAACCAGTATTATATGAAATGCTGAAAGGTGTCCTTTAAGAAGAGGAAGAAGAAGAAAAAGGTAAAGATACAAATTATGAACAACAAATATGCATCTATCAACAAGTGAATCTAAGAATCAAGTGAATAAATAATCTGATGAACAGAATGAACTGGTGATAATAATAGAATCAGGGACATAGAAAGGGAATGGACTCACTATTCTTGGGGCGGGGGGGAAGGGGTGTGGGGGATGTGGGAAGAGACTGGACAAAAATTGTGCACCTATGGATGAGGACAGTGGGTGAGGAGTGAGGGCAGAGGGTTGGGTGGGAACTGGGAGGAGGGGAGTTATGGGGGGGAAAAGAGGAACAAATGTAATAATCTGAACAATAAAGAGTTAATAAAAATATATAAAAAAAATAAAAGATGTTATTCGAGATTCATTACATGGTGTTGTGCAGGTCATTCCTCCCAGCCATTCCCAACCTTCACCCTCACATACCATAGAGTCATTTTGGTGCATTTCTAAAACAAAACAAAAGCAAACATTTAGAAAGTGAGTAGCTTATGAACAGGGTATTTTCTACCTAACAATGCTGTGTCCTGCAGAAAATTTCTGAGAAATGTGCTCTCCCACTTCTGTTTATTACTTTTCTTATCTGATAACATTTAGAAATGACTCATTTTGAAACACTTCCTGTAAAGTCAAATAGTCATCAAAAATGTGGAGTTTATCAACATAAAGGAAAAGAGAAAAGAAAGAGGAAGAGCTCAGCAAATTTCCTAAACATACTTCATGACTCCATTACGTGTGAGGACCCAACAGACAGGAGGTGGAGGGCTCCAGATCCATGCTAAAGCCTTCAGCTACTGTCTCAGCTTTCTGGTAAGAAACCCTCAACCTTCCTAATGCTGTGACCCTTTAATACAGTTCCTCATGTTGTGGTGACGCCCAACCATAAAATTATTTTCGTTGCTACTTCATAACTGTAATTTTGCTACTGTTATGAATCGTAATGTAAATATCTGATATGCAGGATGTATTTTCATTGTTGAAAATTGAACATAATTAAAGGATAGTGATTAATCACAAAAACAATATGAGAACTGCTGCCCTAGACCCACTTGATGACTTGAGCCTAGTTTGTTTTGCTTATTATACATGATGATTGCAGGGTCATTATCTTCTATTTCCCTTTATTCCTTCCCAACTTATACATCACTTCTTTTTTCTACATGTGCACCTTTCTTCTTCTAAATATTCCACATTCTATATATCTTTGCTTTTAATATATTCATTCTGAACTAATAGTGAATTTTTATGTCATTTTCTCCCCTCTCTTAAATCAGCTATGATTCACCTTCTGACTTTTGATTTCCATTTTCTCCAAAAGTTTTGTTTTGCAAATCATTGATTGCCTAGTATATAGAGACACATTGTTATATACATATATATGCGTATATATTCTTATTCTATTTCTCTTATTTTTATTTATCCTTTTTCTTATTCCTTCTTGCTACTGACTCTTTTCCTATAATTACTATTTGATTCTGGAATCTACTTTTCCTATCATAGTTGAATTTTAGTTTCAAATTTTACTTATCTTTTTAGTTACTGCAGTCAACTCAGTATTTAGAATAAAATAAAGAAATTCTCTATTTTTTTATTTAAAATTCTTTATTGTTGAAAGTATTACATATGTCTCCTTTTTCCCCCATTGACTTCTCCCCAGCCACTCCCATCCCCCAGCACACGCCCTCCCCCGCTACTGTCTGTGTTCATGCATACAAGTCCTTTGGTTGATCTCTTATCCCTCCCCCACCCTTTTCTTACTTCCCTCTGAGGTTTGACAGTCTGCTCATTGTTTCTATGTCTCTGGGTCTATTTTTGTTCATCAGTTTACTCTCTATTTATCTTAAATGTAGAGGTATTTTATAGTCAAAACACTTGAAGAATCATAAAAAGTGATCTTATTCTGAAAGACTTTAAAACTCTGATTTATATATACTTCATTTCAAGACAGATAATACGTGATATTTAAAAAAGCTCACACTGGATGACTCAATTGCTTTATATTGGAATTTTGCTTTTGTCAGTCTTTAATACTTCAGTTTGTGCAGCTCTCAGAACCTTTCCCTTTGTTAACAATACCAAAGGCATTTCAGTTATATGATTCTTTGTCATAAGAACTTATATGCAGCTCTAACTGGTTTGGCTCAGTGGATAGAGCATTGGCCTGCGGACTGAAAGGTCCTGGGTTTGATTCCAGATAAGGGCACATGCCCAGGTTTCAGACTCAATCCCAGGTCGGGGGGAGGGGAGGCGGGGTGGGGGGGTGCAGGAGGCAGTTGATCATTGATTTTTCTGTCACCACTGATGTTTCTATCTCTCTCCTTCTCTCTCTCTCTCCCTTCCTCTCTAAAATCAATACAAATATATATTTCAAAAATTAAATAATAGCCCTAACCAGTTTGGCTCAGTGGATAGAGCCTGCGGACTCAAGGGTCCGGGGTTTGATTCCAGTCAAGGGCATGTACCTTGGTTGCGGGCACATCCCTAGTAGGAGGTGTGCAGGAGGCAGCTGATCGATGTTTCTCTTTCATCAATGTTTCTAACTCTCTATCCCTCTCCCTTCCTCTCTGTAAAAAAATCAATAAAATATATATATATTTTTTTAATTAAATTAAAAAAAAAAGAACTTACATGCATGTATATATAGGCCATGGATACAGACAATAGTGTGGTGAAGACCTGGTGGGGGGCAGGGGGAAGGGGGTCAATGGGAGAAAAAGGGGGACATCTGTAATATTTTCAACAATAAAGATAAAATAAAAGTATGGTACTAAATGAAAGATGAACCTGGCGGATGGTGCATGCGGGTAGGCTAAATAGCCATCTCGGATGGTGATTAAAGAAAATTGAATTTACTTAAGGGAAAGGGATAGAGATAGGATACCCAAAGGGGGACAGGCTATCCAGCCACAGGGACATTGGGTGGATGATGGCAGCACCCAGGAGCTGAGGTTTCGTCCTTACATGAAGTCACTGGTGGGAAACTTGTCGTCAGTGGGTCTGGCGGCTGAGCTGGTGGGCTTGGAATACAGATGGAATGCAGGTGTGTGATCAGGTGCCTTCAGGACAGTTTCCATTCCTTGTATAGTCTGACTCCTGGTGTCCAGCACGTTTTTCCTGATCTTTTGTTCTCCTGTGGCGGGAAGCTTACAAATGGCTGTTAAGGATTGTATCATCCTACAGGCCTAACATTTACTTCCTTTTTCTATTTGTTAATAATTGTTCTTAACTGGGGCAAAGGTTTCTATCTTCAGTCAGTCATCCTAAGGAACAAGGCCCCCTGGTGCTTTTGGCGGGAGGGGGGTGGCGGAGAGATATATAAATAAAGTTACCCCACATATCAGAAACCAAACAGCTGGCAGCTTAGTATGTCCATTGCTGTAAGGAGGGGTGAAATTATCAGAACAATTCATATTGTAGTTACTGTAGACTGAAAAACAATAACTAGAACACCTAGTAAAAGTCCAACATTCGCCACAGGGAGCTACTATAGCAACCCTAAGAGAAAACATTCCTACAGTGGGTCCCAAAGCATAAAGGTCCCTGTATGTGATTTTCTTCCCAAAATGAATAGAATGAGTATAATTCTGTATATTAGCAATAGGTGTTCCAAGTCCTACTAGGCAAGATGGAAAGGGCCATTCTACATAGGTCCCTCCTTGAGGTGTTCCCTGGGTTCAGTCACCCATTCTTCCCCTCTGGCACCCTCTTCACTTTGGTGTGATGGATTCTGGGCTTTACCCCTGCCAGCTTCAGAGTAGTTGGAATGGTGACAAACACGCCCCAGGGTCCTGTCCATGGTGATCGTCCATGTTTTGAGTAGAGCTCTGTCTCCTGCTAAGAAGGGACATGGGGGGGGGGGGGGGGGGGAATCCCTAGCACATGCCAAACCATTAATTACAGTCAAGTGTTTGATTAAGATGCTGGGTTGAGTTTATGATACCCAAGACTGAGGAAACCTGAGGAGTGATTCGGGTCCTGAGGCAGTCACAGAGTCATCTATCTAGTTTTGCTGCTTTTCTGGGCCTGCAGCTGAAATACAACTGAGGCCTAGATGTTATCTTTAGGCAAGAAAATGTCAGGAGGTCTAAACTGCCTGACTAGTGATATGAAAGGGGAGGATTGGTTACCTTGGGAGCGAGGTTCTTGTTTTCCCAGTCTTGTACCTTGCTAGGCATCTGGAGCTTTCTGCCCAGGTGAGTTTCTGCATCTGGCCCATCGTCCTTGCTCTGAGGGTCTAACATTCTGGGGGTCTGTCTAACATTTCCCCCCATAAAGATTTTTGGTCCTGAATTCTTTCAGAGAAAAGGGGGCATCAGGTCTCTTCTATAGACACTTTCTGCTGGAAGGTGGAGATATTTTCCTTTAGAGCCAAAAATCCTTGCTCTCTGTCAGAGGGAAGATGAGGCCTGGGCATAAAAGGAGGTTGTGATGGTATATATGGGTGGTATCTCCTGAGTACAAGTAGGGCTTGTAACCTGGTGGAGACAAACTGTTTTATAAATTTTAGTATTATTGGGTGCCGAAACCGGTTTGGCTCAGTGGATAGAGCGTCGGCCTGCGGACTGAAAGGTCCCAGGTTCGATTCCGGTCAAGGGCATGTACCTGGGTTGCGGGCACATCCCCAGTAGGAGATGTGCAGGAGGCAGCTGATCGATGTTTCTCTCTCATCGATGTTTCTAACTCTCTATCTCTCTCCCTTACTCTCTGTGAGAAATCAATAAAATATATTAAAAAAAAAAAAAAAAAAAAAATCTTTAAAAAAAAAAAAAAAAAAAAAAAATTTTAGTATTATTGGGGAAAGCTAGAACAATAAGAATTATGACAAATGGTGTGGTGAAAGGAAAGAGACATTAGTTTGGAGGATTGTAGCCAAATATTTATGAAAACTAGGAAAAAATTCAGAATCTAGTTTAGTTTAGCTCATGGGTGAAAAATAAAACTTTGAAGATAATGAACTGAACTAGAGTCTAACATTGCGACTGTGTATATGGAATCTATTGAAACACATTCCCCCCCCCCAAAAAAATCACCCTCATTTTTATTAAATAGCCAATTAAGACCAATTTATTTACTGTATTTAGTTTAGTTTCAATATGGCCTGATTGTTTGCATGAGCACAAGAATAGCACTTGATTATATAGGCTTTCAAAAACTTGCTTTCCTGGAATCTCAAGATTGAGCCTTAATTAGCCTCTAGAGCAAAGATGATGAGCCACCTACTTGCCACCAAGTTTGCCTGCAATACCTGTAAAATGGGGTGAATCCCTCAAGTTTTTGAGGTTCCCAATGATGTCTTGAGTTCCTTCCTTGCCATCTCTCAGGAAAGCAACCCTTGTTCCTTACCTGGAAAGACTGCCATGAACCACGGGATCAAACAAGGTACCAGGCCATTTCTTGTAAGTGACTTTTGATTGGCTTCAATCCGTTTTTGAGAATGCTTTCTGGTGATGCCCAGAGTCTAAGCATGTCTCTCTCAGACATAACATTCCAGTCAAAGTCTTGGTTAATAAAACCATAATTGGTTTTATTGAATTCATGCAAAGAAACTTATTGCCATGACTTACTCATTAAGAATTACCAAATTCTGGAGGGATAAGGTAGGGAGAAAAATATAAAAGCTTCCATATTGCTTATGAAGGTCTAATTTATCAAATTGTTCTAGGGAATGAAAACAAGCTTTCTTATATTTTAAAGAGATGACCTGACCTGCTTAGAAACCTATAATTTAGAGTAAGTCAGAATCCTTGTTATGAATCTTTCCAAAGACTTAACTAATGTATTTGTAAATTCATCACAGCAAAATAATGATG